TTAACTTGAGAATTATAATTAAACCTTCCGTATTCCCTTTAGCTCTAGACAGGTTAACGTGGCCGTCAGTCGTTTATGGCCACCCTCGCCTGGGCTGACTTCTGACCCATTGCTCTCCTGTACCTACCCCGCCCCCACCCCTTTAATTATTCTGTTCCCACAGGACAGGGCCAGAGCGATTGCTTTCAAGCATCAGGAGATAAGTTTCTTTCTCCCAGAAATCTTCCTGGACTCATGTGTCACTCTTCTAGCACTCCACCAGAGGAGGTTTGTCCAAACCAGATATCTTTACCTGACCCTATTTGTCTCTTGTTCACAATTTTTAAGCTCCTAGAACCCCTGTGAGATGTCAGCCAGCTAGAGAAAGCTTATAGAGTTGTTGTCACGGGCTGCAACAAGTTAGCAGCTATGGGCAGAAGCAGGTAGACTGCATCAATGTCTGCATAGCTAAGTAGTAGGCAAAGGGAGGAAAGAGACACTGGAATATGAATCCATGGGTCCAAATCTGGAAAGTTGTAGGAAATACTGGGAACTAGGTCAAAGCGCTAGCATATTTGTGTCCCTGAGAAAATCTATCAGCCAAGAGGCAACAGTGTTTCTTGAGTTTCATGAGAGAAGTTGCTCCAACAGCTGCCCAAGAGGATCCACCATCTTGGAAGCCAGAAGGACTCCAGTCTTTCTGGTCAACCCCACCACCAGTGTTCAGCAGCACCTCTAAGTGAAAAGAAAAGAGCCTCTGAGTCTTTGCCATTATCATCTGGCCAAATGGCCCGTGGACTTCTCCTTAATGCAAACATTGAGCCACTGAGGATGGAAGAGGACAGTCATGGATCCTGTGTACCTCTTAGAATTCTTCTCTTTCTTTTATTTTGCTAGTAGCTCCCAAATTGATTAATTGATCTTGTAAATCCAACCAGACTAAATTCCCAAAAGGCAAAAAAAAAAAAAAAAAACGTTTAATTATCTTTTTGTGTCTTCCCCAGCACCTAGAGTCATTCCAGGCACAAGATGGCCTGAGACCCCCTGATGCTACTCCTTGCTTACTTCCCTTTGCACCCACTTCCCTAACCGACCAGCTCTCATCTGACCCTCAGCCTTCTCAACAAGTTCCTCCACAAGGTCAATACCTGCTTAAGCGTAAGCACATCAGTACACTTCAGCTGACCCAGGCCCGTAGATCGACAGGGCATTATTCTGAACTCGTGTAAACGCTCTTATTATAAACATGAGTTAGTCCTCCACCATGTGTCGTCCTGTATTATCCTCCGGTAGCCGTGCGCACCTCTGTTCTGCCTCCCAAGGACCCGTCTGGCATGGTGGTAAAGAGCTCTCTGAATTTACGTAGCTAAGTGTCAGCCGTGTAATAGCCGCCAAGGGGGCATCAACCATTTCACTTCTTGTTTCCCCCTTATTGTCTAAGGCAATGAGAGATGTCTGATACATAGATACTGACTGACTGAACAGCTTCCCCAGAGTGGCTGCATCCTGCCAGGGCTGGTAAAAGCATTTCTGCTCAAGAATTCTGATGGAAATGCTTTGTTATGGCCGCTGTTTAGGATCAAGTTTTGAAGCATCATCTCGTGGCCCTCCTCTGTTGTCTCCAGGGTTACATTACATATTCTTCTAAACAAAGAAAGAATCCTCAGAGCTGTTCCAGTTGCTAAACGCAGCACGGCTGCTTCAATGGGTCAGCAGCTCACCGGGCCGCGGGGCCGGCAGGGTTCACTCAGCGGGGCCATGACCGGACACCCCGCAGTACCCACCAGAGGCGCCACTGCTGCTTGGGGACATGCCTCACAGCCTGGAGCGTCCACAGCCTGATGCTGCTGAGCGTGCAGAAGAGCTGCTTTATTCCGGGGACTTTGAGCCCTTGGCCACATCTCATCCTCAGAACCTACAGTTCGGGAATCAGAGCACGTCCCTGCCAAACAAAATCCTCAGCAAGGCAGCCTGGTGACCATCTGGATACCAGGGCAAAGCAATGCCAAGCTGTGTCCCTCAGTCTGAAAAGCACTGTTTTCACTCCTGACTGTGTCCCACCAAGACTTATGCAGGGTGAGGGGGTGTAGGCAGGGAGGACCCTTTGAGCAGGGCACGTCTGTGAGCCCCGTAGGGCTTAAATTTGCTTCTTTGAGCTGAAGGGAAAACAGAGACTCTGTTTTATCTTGGCAAGTCAGTGGGCTCCTCCAGAACAAAGATAATGTAGGGTTCTAGTTACATCCCCAGCGCCAAGCTTACACACAGTAGGTGCTCAATGATTCTCTGGTGGCTGACAATGATTGATGAGTCGCAAGCCCATTAAGCAGGGGTGTAACATTGCATTCCCCACACCACCACCTGTCACCCTCCCTGTCTCCTCTCCCCTCACCTCTACCAAATGCTGCCAATGCCCCAGGAGTAAAGGAAGAGCACTCTCTCTCCCTGCTGGATCTCAGTTTATTGATGTTGCCCCTGAGAGGCCAGAAGATGGGGGCTTTGATGGGAGGCACATGGCTGTTCCAGCAACTAAATGAAGGTCATAAGCACTTGTATGTTGGTTATGATGCTTCTGAAGGAACTACCTCAAGTCCCAGAATGATGCAGGCGGCATGGCTCTTTTCTCTGGGTGTGGTCACCATGCGCTTTAATGACTGAAATGGAAATCAGAGTGAAGGGGTGTCCTCAGTCCCCAAGAATGCCTGCCACACACACACACACACACACACACACACTATTTAACTAAAAGAGAAATCAGCAGTTACTACTAATGATCAAAGTGAGACAGGACCAGAGATAAGTAACCTGCCTAAAGTCACACAGCTGACTAGTGTCCTTACCAGATTCCTGAATTCCAACCCAGTGATCTTTTCACTTAATTATGAGATTATTTTGTTGTTTTGTTATTTGTTTCCTTGCTGGCTTGCTTCTGTTTAATATGTCTTTGAAGAAGATCCAACTTCAGATTTTTCTTCTCTGAAAAACTGCAATATTTCCCAGGTAAAACCCAGCTCTTCCAGGTAAGGGGCTCATTCTCCCGGTATCCTGCCTCCCTGACGTTCCCCAGAGGGACACTGTCTCACCCAACAGGGCAGGAGGACCTGGAGCCCTCAGCTGCCCATGTGATAAGTGATGAGTATGATCCCCACACCCAGGGAGGCTGTGACTCTTCCCTGTCTCGATCTAAAGCCCAGACATGTGCAGTCAGCATTCGTGATGCTGAGGATTCTCCAGTGCAGACGCAGCGACTGGTCTTAAGGTCAGGGAGGGGGGCTGTGCACATTCATCTTGGTCAGTGTTCGAGCCCAAGCCCAGCAGGGAGTGTCCAAGTGAGGGGACAGTTATGCCTGAGGAGCAGTCCTGACCAGCCATTTTGCTGTGGTCCCTCGGACGTGGGCTGCAGAGAGCGGGCTGCAGAGCCTCCGCTCGTCTGCATCCAAGCCCAGGCACCAATCTGTTCTAGGACCAAGAGCGCCGCCTGCTGCCTCTGAACGCCCTCTGCCTGCAGCAGGGATACTTGGCGAAAACCGCAGTGCTGATATTTTTAAGCAGTTCAGTGTCTGAAGCGGTCAGATTCCCCACAACAAGGGGAAAACACAGCACCTATAAAATTGGTCCCCATACCCCATGTCAGACAGTGAACCAGTGACCTTCCCCGGGAGAACCCTGGCAGAGCCCTGTTAACACACGTCTTTCTCCTTCCCTACTGTGTGCACACTCCCCTCCGACTCAGAACGGAAAGAAGCCTTGGAGACTTCTAGTTCAGCTGTGGATCTGAATGGTAAAGAGGCGTGTCCAAGGTCACACATGGCCCCATTTTATTCCAACACGGACTTCTCTCACACCAAGTACGGGTTGGATTGAATTCACACAATTCAGATTTCTTTGTCTTCACCTGCAGTAGAAATTTTGCAGAATCTTCTTTCCTGCTGCATTGATCTCACCATGCTAGCCCCAGCTACAGCCCCCTCTCTCTCCTGCCTCGGGCTTTGTCTTGCAACTGTTTGTCTTCAAATGTCATCTCCCCTCGCACAGCCCAAGTCCCATGAAAGGAAGCTCTGTGGCTGAATCTCTGCGTCCAGGAGGGCTTGCCACCAAATTAGCTCCCCACATGCCACTTTCTTCTTAAGGGCTTCAGAAACTGATCACTCTCCTGGCCTCTTGAAAGCTTCAGCAGTAACCATGTTACAATATATAAATGTATCAAATCCACATGTTGAATACCTGAAACTTACATAAAGTGTCAATTACATCTAAAAGAAAATAGATTTTTCAGCTGTCCCCACCTTCTCGTCTCCTGGGGGCCGCATCTCCCCCAGACTGACTGAAAAGGACACAAGCTTCCGAGGTCCTCTGGTAGCCTCTCTTCCCTACTCACGGTCCCCCAAAAATCACATCAGCCATTTTTAATTTAGCAGTTTTATTTCTGATCACTCCAACAAATATATGATATAACAAATAGCATGATTTTACAATTGTCAAAGTTTCCCCCAAAGCTTCTGAATGTTCATCTTTTAAAATAAAAGAGAAAAGATCCAGTCATGAATTCTACTTCTTTTTGCTCTCATCCCACCCCGAGTAAAGAACGTTGCAAGGAGAGCCATCCCTTCACAGCCTGGAGATGGGGAAAAGGCCAAATGCCACAGTTTCCACCAAGGGAGACTCCACGGCCTCCCATAAGCCCCTCAGTGTCTCACTCTTCTCATCTGTAGGATGGGCATAATAAAAGTGCTTACTGATAGGAACACAGAAGGATTTACTGAGATAAGAAGTTACTTAGACCTCAGTCAGTCAGCACTCACTACATTCATTTGCTCAACAAACTCCACGTGGTCATCAGGCCCATCTTGCTCCTCACTTGGTCCCCAGTGTGGCGTGTGGCAAAAATGAGGTCTGCAGTCAACAGGTGTTTGATTAATTAGGCAATTTATTTCTCAAAACAAGCTGTTGATAAAGCAAGAGGAGAAGGAAGGACAGAACTCTTGAAGGGAGGTGACAGGGCTCCAGACTGAAATACAAGCCACCGTAGTTTGGGGGGAGTTCCAGGGAGTCCCGGGAGGGAAGCTGCCTGGGAAAGGCTGGGAAGAGAGGGAAAGAAACATCGAGACCCCTGCAGTTCATTTCATGAAAGATGCCATAAGTCAAGGACGCTCGATGGGGAAGGGACAGGGACGGTCTCTTCAGTAAGTGGTGCTGGGAGAGTTGGCCATCCCCATGCAAAGGATGGGATGAGAACCCTGTCTTAACACCACTCACAAAAATTACCTCGAAATGGATTAAAGACGTTTAAGCGTAAGATCTGAAACTGTATCTACCTTAAAGTTACACAACAGGATATATCTCAGTTATATTTCAATAAAACTGGAAAAAGTGAAAAAATAAAGTTTAACAAAAATTTTTAAAGCTGGGCATGAGCGAAACCAACGGCCTTGGGTTCTGCTTGCGCGTCCCTCCCACAGAGCTTCGCCCACAGGCCTGGGGCTGATTCCCTCCCGAGAGCGTGGTAAATTCCAGCCCGGGGTTAATGCCCCCTGCTGGCCTTCCGCTCCCCACGCGGGCTCCACGTGCTGAAGGATCCCCACTCCCGCGCCGCCCCACCTGCAGTGTCATGTGGGGGGATGATCCCCGACGGCTGGAGGATGAGGCTCGTCCCTGGCTCTCAGGTTCAAGTCTGCGCGGCGCATCCTGCCCACAGCGCCTCCCTGCAGGGTTCACCTGACTTTCTTCTGACGCGCAAGCAGAGGCAGCTCGACTCTGTAGGCGGCCACGGCAGGTGCACTTGGGGGGGGGCGGTCCGCGGACACATTCCATTACTCACCCTGTGCTGAGGCAGCAGAACCTTCTCCTTTGCCAGGTACTGAGGACGCCCATCGGCCAGGCAGCCGGGGATGAGCAGCGGGGGATATAAAGGGTGTCTTTTGAGCAGCAGGCTGGCTAGCAGGTGAACCATCTGGAGACACTTAAGGGGAGGCAGGTCCATTTTGTTCCACACAACATCACTGAAGAACCATTTGGGCTTTCACACCCTAAATAGGCGAAGGAAGCCATTTAGCAGAATGCTGACGCCCCCCAGACTGGCATCTTGGACAAGCCCTGGAGCAAAGCTCAGGGAACAGAATGATGCTTTTTAAACAGGACCCTGAGTTTACAATCTGTCTCAGCTGTGCCACAATGGTGACGACCACGACATGGTCTCATATGCAGCTCACGGGTAGCTTGTCAACCTCCAGCACCTCAAGATAAAGCTCTCTAATTGTTATAAAAGTTAGTACTGTGAAAATACATTTTCTAAATGACCACATATTTCTTCTATCTTTTGATTGTTTTAATAACACTATAACCCTTTAAGGCAAGTTTTTTAAGTTCCAGGGGTTCTTTCTGTGCTCATTTGTGCCTGGCCAGTGTGGATCAGGCAGCGCATCTCCAGCGGCTGTGTCCCCAGACACCCAGGCTACACGATGCCTCTCTGGTGAGTGCTGCCCGCTGGGCTGTATCATGAAGACCTGCGACTGTGAAGGTCACTGCTACACAACCGCGGCTCTCAAATATTGCTGGCGAACTTAATTATCCAGAGCACTTGTTCACATTAGAGACACCCATGCCCATGCTATACCTGCTGAATCTGAATCTGTGAGGTCAATTTTATGCTCCTAGGTGTTTCTGATGCTTTAACCAGATCTCAGGTGATTCACCCACACAGTAAGCACTGCCGTAGGACAAAGGCTATGACCTCCTGGCAACATGAGTTAAGGTTCTGAATGAAGAATGGAACCCAGAGCTGTGTCCCAAGAGCAGTTGGCTGATCAAGACCCTCCAAACAACCTTGAAAGTCTTCTCTGCTACCCACTCCTACATTGTTGCCATAGTGACTGACATCGGAGGTGATGAAGGGGATAACCCCCAGACAGAAGCCCAAGTCCAAATTCCAGTCTTGCTAATGTTCAGGCAGGGCAGCCGTGGGGAACTCGCTTAACCCTTCTGATTCACAGTTGCCTCATCCGTAAAGTGGAGAAAGCTCAAAGATCCCCAAAGGTCCTCCCAGATCTTCATGTAACTCTCATCCTTCCCCACCCATTTCACACATATATGCAAAGTCAAAGTTGGAAGGGATCTTAGATTACCTGGTCCCAGCTACTTCCTCGGAGCCACCATTTTACACATGGAGAACCTGGGGCACCAGGCAAGTTCAGTTACTACCCTGACCCCGGAAGTGCAGAGCCCTGACTAGAACCCAGAGCTCCTGGGGCTGAGTTCAGTGAGTGTTGCACTATAGAGTAACAGGGAGCATCACTCCTAGGTTGGGTGGCCCAGAAAGCACACTCTGAGACAGATATTTGTCCACAGGAAGTTTACTGGGGGTGCACTCAGTAATTATCCAGAGCTCTTGTGCACATTAGAGACCCCCTTAAATACCTTTAAGGGAATGAGAGAAGCAAAATTGGGCAGAGGGAGAAGTTGATTGATACAGGAAGCTCAAAGCTGGACTTCCCTACAAAGTTGTCCTGAATCAAGACAAAGGTGCCAGACCATATTCCATACCAACCAGTCATTGGATATGGGCTTCCCTTGGGGAGGAGCTATGACCTCGGTCTACCTTCAGATGAGCTTAATTCCTAGAGGGGGACTCAGATGTGAGTCCTTACAGCCAACACTCTTAGCACTTGGGACCAAGATACTTGGTCCCATACAGGAATTCTGGGCAGCATTCCACAGTATCCTGTACAGAAAAGCTTTGTGCCACCTGGATCACTTACTTCTATGATAAGTGTGACCCTTCTGGGAGCAACTTCTATACTCTTCTGGTGGTTCTATTCACCAGGGGGAACTACCAAAGGAAGATTAATGGGACAAACCACTATTACCACATCTGATCTTGAGGCTGCAACTGAACCTCACCATCTGTGTTCTCTTCTATCCATTCTGCATTCCTCTCACCTTGAGCCAACGTCTCTGTTGTTCTAGGTAGCTTACTTGGTGGAGTGACCCAGACCCTCATCCCTAAGGAGACCAAGCCCCTGGTGACCACACCACACCGTCCTCTGGCATGGCTGCTACACTTGCCCATGTACCTCGTATCAGGCACGGGAGTACCAAGAGATGCCCCAGTGGCTACCTGAGAGCCAAACATTCTGTTCCTTCCCCTTTCCATAACAATAGTACTACTTCCTCCTGATCACCAGGGTCAGTGGCTCCTGCCCAAGCGGCAACTTCTTTCCTTGCCTGCTAATCTGGTACCAGAAGTTGGAAGAGATCAGATGGCCCCTGTTATATACTCTGATGAAAGCACTACCTGCCCCCTGGAAACCAGCCTCTTTAGACCCACAGGGTCTGCATCTGTGGGGATGGGGAACACAAATCCCACAGGGGGGTCACTGGGAGGGATGGTAAGCAGGACCACTCCTACCCCTTAGTTCCCAGCCTCCTCTAGTGGTTGTTTATCCAGTATCTACAGTATATACCATACGGATTGCCCTGATCCCTGCCACCATGGAGCCACGGCTCCATTCACATAGCCACTGCTCAGACACTGAGGTGGCCAGAGAACAGAGGTTCACTGACGTCAACGGGCTGATTCATTTTGTCTGCTTGGTTGTTCAACTGCCTCTCCTGCCACGGCTTCGCCTCTGGTGCTATTAACATGAAATGCAATGACCCTAACCCTTTAGGCCCCCTCCCAGCAGTCCATCCACATGCCTCTCCCCCAGTCCCCCATGCCCTAAATCTTTCCATCTTTTTCTCTGCAGGCCCCTAACCAGCAGCCACACCATTCACTATTTCTCGTGAGTCTGTGGATATTATTACTTCAGCCCAGACTCTTTCCACACAGAAAGGATGGCCAGGACTACCACTCAAAGCCCTGCGTATTGAGAGGCTTTCCCCTCACTTCTCTCTTTGTGGGCCACTGGCAAGTGGGGCTGTAGTTGAGAGCAATCCACTTCAGCTTGCAGCCTCATGCAGAGTCAGGCCATCTGTCACCCACACTTGACCATTCTCCTCCCTAAGCTGTTCATAAGTGAGGCTCCGTTGCAGCCATAGGCATCTGCAGCTGAAGGAGAAGCAAGAGTAGTGACCTGAGGTCTGAGCCACTTGCTTGTGTAGCTTCCTTGAGATCCCTGGCCATGCCTGTGCTTGATACGGGATGAGCCGCTTGGATTTTACAGACCCACCTGAAAGAACACAACACACTCCCTTCAGCTGCAAGCAACTCCCGACAAGGACTCGGCTATGAGTCATCAGGAAGTGACACTCTGGCAGCGAGGGAATGGGTACCTCGACCCTGACGGGGAAATCTGGACAGTGCACTCAGAATCCTCTCTGGCATCCACTCAAAACTTCCTAAAAACCCGTGAAGAGGAAGGAGATACCTAATACCTTGCAGGTCAAGAAACTGATGTATCTTAAGATTAAACACCATCAGTTGATGGCAAATCAATCCAGCATTAGAACAAGAGTCCCCGAACCTGCACCGTCCAACAGAAATGTCGGGTGAGCCACGTATGTAATTTTAGATTTTCTGGTAGCAACATTAAAAATAGTAAAAGGAAACAGATGGGGGGCCTGGGTGGCTCAGTCGTTAAGCGTCTGCCTTCGGCTCAGGCCATGATCCCAGTGTCCTGGGATCGAGCCCCGCATCGGGCTCCCTGCTCCGCGGGAAGCCTGCTTCTCCCTCTCCCACTCCCCCCTGCTTGTGTTCCCTCTCTCGCTGTGTCTCTCTCTGTCAAATAAATACATAAATAAATAAAATCTTTTTAAAAAGTAAATAAATAAAAGGAAACAGATGGGATTAATTTTAGTAATTTATCTTATTTAACCCAAGAGATCCAAAATATTATCGCTTCAGTATGTAATCAGTATCACAAATTAATGAGATATTTCACATTCTCTTTACCATGCTAAGTCTTTGAAATCTGGCATGTGTTTCACAATACATCCCAACTTGAGCTAGCCACACTTCAAGCACTCGGCAGCCACACGTCGTTAGCGGCAACCGTATGGGAAGCTATAGTTTTAGACTCTATCCAGTTCTCTTCTCTATCCTCCCTGAGATACTCCTTTCGAATTGGCAGGACCAAGAATCTGGGAGGGAGATGCTCAGACAAGAATCCTGCCTCTGGTGGAGATCTATGTCCTTGCCATTTATGAAGCTTCCAGAATCCCCACTCCTTTAGCACAACATGTTGTTCGGCCCGCATTTAGCTTCACAGGTGTTGCTACCACTTGCTGGGAAGGTTCAGTTTGAAAAGAAAAGAAAAAAAGCAGTAGTAGACAAATGTTTAACTCCATCTCTGTGTGTACCCCATAATTTAATGCTAAATCCAGCTCGATTTGGTTTCTGTGGCAACCAAGAGAACCAGCTCTCCACAGCTCATATGTCCAATTTCTAAATGTAGGGTGCCTACAACACACTCAGCATCCCAAATGTCTGAGCTCTGATGTTCTCAGAAGCCCCTGATTCTGAGCCCGATCCACAGGTACAAGGATGCAGTGCAGGAGCTTTGATTAAAGTCTTTGCCCAACACAGCATCTGTAGGAAAGGTAGGACTAGGCAGCTTTCTGTCCTAGCAATCTTTAGAAATGGGAAAGCTCTTCATTGGTCTGGAAAGACTTGGAAGAGGGACTTTGTGAAGGTAGAATGAGGCGTTACGCCTGCTGTAGTTATTGCCAATCCATGAAGCCTTAGCAGATGCACCTGTTCTGCATGGAACACTTGGGGCACTAGTGAGCCCTCGAGAGCAAATTTTCTTTCTTCTGTCTCCTTCCTTTCAGCAAGCAGCACCCATGGGATCCAGAGGGAGTGGATTTATATCCTGGCTCCAGCACTGACTTAGATGCTTGAGATGCTTCTTTGTCTCTGGGCCTAGAGATGTGAAGTCATCCTAGGAAACCCTCTGCCATCCCTGGCCAAAACCCCAAGATTGGAGGGAATGATTTAAGGATCTTCTGGTAAGTGTTAGCCCCTCCCCGTTCAGTACTGAGTCCCTTCCCACTGGCTTAGAACCCCAGGACAGACCTGTTTCCTTAGAAG